CACACACACACACACACACACACGTATAAGGGTTTTTCTTTGTTGTCTGTACCTCTTGTATACCTCTGTGTCTTCAACATGAGGAAAACTTAAGTTTAAATTTATTGAGACTTTCCTTTTGTTCTCTCCTTCTTGTGCTTTCTGATCCCACTGTCCATTGCCTCTGCTTTCTTGCCTGGTCTTCATGGGGTCTAAGATTTATTACTGTCAGTCACTCCCTACTCCCATCTTCCACTATTAAAATGTCAGTTATGCAGCATCTTTTCAAAATCTAAGGTGATAAGTGACTCATCTTATAATCATATGACCCAACTTGAGATACAATCATATGACCCAACTAGTTGATACAAGTTGATAACATACTGACTGCATTTCTAGAAGGAGCTCTGCCACTAACCAGTTTTAGGAACTTAGGCTATTTAACCTCTATGAAATTCACTTTTCTTTTGTGTAAATCTGAAAGTTGTCTAGATGAGTGTTTCTGTAAGTATGTTCTGTAACATTGGCCCAAGAATATATCGCTAAATATAATGTTTTAGGGTCATCATCATTTGGGAAATGATATGTATTTTATCACCTTCTTGCACAGTACCAAGTTAAAGGTTCTCACAAGTCCTAAAATAAACTTTTTTTTTTTAACCTGATAATTGATTTTTTGCAGGGAGGGGGTGAGTGGCAGTGAGTAACATGTTGCTAGTTCCCTTGAACCATATTAAGGAATCACTAGTTGAAATTTCTGGAGATTTTGGCGGCAATTACACACTATTTTATCTTCAGTAAGGTCCTTGGGTGATGCAAATGTTTTGTGCTTGACTCCTAAACAAAAGGTTGGTAGGTCAAACTCACTCAGAGGCGCCTAACAAGATACGCCTGGTGATCTGCCTCCAAAAGCTCATAGCATTGACAAGAAAATGGAGTAGTTCTACTCTCCACACATAAGGTCTCCATGAGTTGGAATCAACTCAATGGAAACTAGCAACAACAGCAACTAATCTAAAGGCTGGTTGTACCTACCAGCGGCACCGTGTGGAATAAAAATCTAATAATTTGATTCTGTAAAGATTACGGCCAAGAAAACCCTATAGAACAGTTCTACTCTGTAACATTTTGGGTCACCATAAATTAGAATTGAGTCAATGGCAAGAGGTTTGGGCTTTGTTGTTTTTATCTCCAATGTCAGCTGCCTTGGGTACAGAGATGAGTAGGATAGGATCTCTGTGTTCTAGGCGTAATGAATCAAGTATTAGAGACACAAACAAAAGTAATACAGATTAAAGGTTTGTTCAAATATAATGGGCATGGAGACTGAGAAGCAAGTCTGCCATGTATGGGGGCAGTGAATGAGGAAAGGGAAGAAAAAAATTCAGGGATGGATTACCCTTAATAAAAATAAGCAAGATATCATGGGCTTAATTGTATTTCCTTAGCTAATGTATAGTGAACAATTTCACCTATATTGTACTACAACTTGGACGTGAGAACCAAATGCAATTGTTCACTACAGGTGAAAATCAGATGAGATTGTTCACTACATATTAGTAAGTAACCACAATTAAGCATATGTGTACCTTAGTTACTGTAAGCCAGTGTGGACCATGCTTATTCGTTAACCCACCCCTGGGAAGACACCAGAGGTGAACTGCCGTTTGAAATGAGTCTTGCGGGATGTTTGTAGTAATTCATCAGGTAGAGAAGATGGGAAAGTATATTCCAGGCAATGGGAACAACATATTCATAGGCATTGTTGTTGTAGTTATGTGCCGTCGAGTTGGCCGGACTCATAGCGACCCCTCCTTGGGTTTCCGAGGCAGTATCACTACGGAAGTAGGATTGCCCAACCTTCCTTCCGAGGAGTGCCTGGTGGGTTTGAACCGCCAGCCTTCTGGTTAGCAGTCATAGGCATGTTGTTGTTGTTGTTGTTTGCCGTCGAGTCGGCCCCGACTCACAGCGACCCCTCCTTGGGTTTCCGAGGCAGTATCACTACGGAAGTAGGATTGCCCAACCTTCCTTCCGAGGAGTGGCTGGTGGGTTTGAACTGCCAGCCTTCTGGTTAGCAGTCAAGTGCCTTAGGCACTATGCTACCAGAGCTCCTGCGGCATAAAATCCCAAGGCACATTCTAGGTCTGTGAGATAATTCTGTGGTTATGGAGGCTGGGCATGGAGGCCGCCTAGGAAGAGAGGAGCCAGAGAAAGTTCTGTTAGGTGGGTGGAGACCTAATTGCCTTGTGCTTTAAGTGTTGTTCTAAGGACTCTGAATGGAGTTTCCTGTAAGTAACAGGAGACCATTGTTAGTGTGTTTTTTAATCAGAGAGGTTATATTTTCAATAATTGTTTTAGAGAATTCTGGAATGGTGGACAGATAGAAGGGGAAAGAGATTGGCAGGGAAGCTAATCATGATTCTATTGAAATGGCTCAATTAAGAAGTGGTAAAGGGCTAAATGGGAGCTCTGGTAGGTAGTGCCTAAGGCACTTGATTGCTAATCAGGAGGCTGGCAGTTCAAACCCACCAGCCACTCCCTGGAAGGAAGGTTGGGCAATCTACTTCTGTAGTGATACTGCCTCAGAAACCCAAAGATGGGTCGCTATGAGTCAGGTCTTGATGGCACATAACAACAACAACAAAAGGCTAAATAATGACAGTGGCAGAGTATGTGATGGAAATTGAGGTGTTCTACAGAATTTGACTCATTGCTGTCCAGTCGATCCTGACTCATAGCAACCTCTCCTTGAGTTTCAGAGGTGGTATCTCTAGGGAAATAGATTGCCCAATCTTCTTTCCGAGGAGTGGCTGGTGGGTTTGAACCTCCATCCTTCTGGTTAGCAGTCAAATGCCTTAAGCACTACACCACCAGGTCCTACAGAATTTGACTGCTGACCAGAAGACTAGAGGTTCAAACCTACCAGCCATTCCTTGGAAGGAAGGTGGGCAATCTACTTCCATAGTGATAGCGCCTCAGAAACCCAAAGAGGGGTCGCTATGAGTCAGATCTGACTCAAAGGCAGTGAGTTTTACTGAGTTGCAGAACTTGAGGACTTAATAGATATGAGACAAGAAAGGAAGAAGATTCCCAAATATCTCTACAGTACCTAGCTTGGGCAAGTGTTGTGTGATTACAACATTCACTGAGTTAGGAATTTAGAGGACTAACCTGTTTTCAAATAATTTTAAACTGGACTGTGGATCCAATGACATTAGAGTCATTTTTCCTATAAAAACACATCCAGTGATTTTTATGTTTCAGAGATCAAGAATAATTAAATAAAGGCTATATTCTCTATAAGGTCATTCAACATCCAACAAAAAATTCTGTTCCAAACTGAAATTTGATAGGTATTTAGTATATTCCTATTAACAAAGTTCTAGATCTAAGAATAATTTAACCACATTTACATCTATTTCCTTTGATTTTATCTCTAAATGATAAATAATCATTGCTGAGACTATGAATCTATTTGGTTTTTCATTCAATTTAAAACAATTCTTCTAACCAAAGATTATCTGATAGATATTAATCTCTCAGTATAAGATTGTGAAATCATTTTCATTTTCTAGACAAAAACAGCATGGAACACCAGAAGTGTTAGTGATGATTTAAATATTAAGCCCTGAGTTTTTTAACCTATGCCCAAATTATTTTTTAATACTAAGAATTATTGCTGCTAATGCATTAAAAATGCATTGTGTTTATAGTCAGTGAGTGGAATTGTTTCAAAAACATGTGTATGTCAGTGAAAATTAGAGAAATACTCTTTTAACTAGTCAAAAAATTTTTTGGAAGAAGTCCATGTTTGCATATTGTCTAATATTTAACGAAGGTTTTATTCTTTTCCTAACTACAGTTTGCAGGTTTCTTTTATTTGGGGGGGAAATACTCTCTTTAAGAGGTAGGATGTGGGAATTAGCGTGAGCCAGGTTGTTTACATAAAGCCATCCACTCTTCCCTGATTAGGTCAGAGAATTTTGACTTTACCTGGACAAGCTGCCTTCTATTAGCACTAGAAACAGACTACAGTCTATGGTCACTGATTCAAGAAGGAAAATTCTCATTTTGAATTTTTAGGCAAAGAGGACCAGGAATCTAGAAATGATCTGAGTTGGTGGAGAGGAGCTGGTACACATGATTTATCAGAGGAAGCAAAGTACAGTGCCCACCTTGAAAACAAACTCAACTATCAAAATGACAACCCATTTTAAAATGAAAACAATAAGGGTGGTCAGAAATACCACATTAAAAAAAAAAAAGATTGTAAAGAAATAACGATATAAACTGAATGGTCTTATCATGATAGGCGAGGCTGCCTCTCCCTCCCAACTGTGGTACATTTAAGGCAGCTCCGTGAAATTGTTTTAAAATACATTTAGAAGGTCTGGAATACAGATATGTGTTATGGTTATTTCACTATTTTAGGGTTAAGGATAACGGTTGCTGTGTCTAGGTCTTCAGATTTTAGAGATTTCTAAAGGCATCTTGCTGCTTTTGGAAGAAATTTTGTATTCTTGAAAAAATATAATGCCAAAATGAGTTGAGACGCTATGTCTTTTTACTTCAAAACAAAACAACCTTAACTTCCTTATAGTAGAAACAGGAAACAGAGGAGTCAGACTGTGATCTCTGAGATCCAATAACCTAGTATCACAGCTGTGCCATGCTCTCCCCTGATCCAATGCCACTCCCTTAACATGCTATCTGTTTACTTTAGAGGAGGCACTTTTTGAGAAAGGATCACAAATATCCTGGCCTAGTGCCCAAGAGCCATGACAAAAGAACATACCCACCTGGAGGTAGCCCTTGCTATATTTAAATGTGTGGGTTAATTTTTTATCCACGTTAATAAATGGATATTTTCTTTCCCCCCTCTCCCTCTTTATTTTCTGTTTCTACTCTGAAGCTGTGAGCACAGACATCTCTGCAGGCAAATTATTCCAGAGCTTATTGCAGGACCTGCCTATAACAAATACTTACATTCCCGGCATCTGGAGACCTGATCCTTTTCCAAAATGGCAGGTGTGAGTGGCTGTTTAAAATATTCTATGTTTATCTTCAACTTCTTGTTCTGGGTAAGTGTTTTTCTTTTAATTATCAATTTTATGCAAGAAGGGGGACCTTGATATAAATATCGTAAATGAGAACAGACCCTTCACTAGAGAAATAGGAGGAGAAGGAAAATGTATTTTCCATTTACTTGTTTGGATTTGTTTGTTCTTTCTCTGGTTATTTCAGTAATTGAAAACGAGCCAATGACTCAAAAAAGTGGGTTTCAGGATCTTTGAGGATAAACATTTCATAAATGTTTTGATATTGTTGCAAAACAATCAGAGAGAAAGAAAATGCCCCTTAATTAAAGGACAATTATTCTTAGTTGTATATCATGCAGGCCTCCCCATGTTTAAGGACCGTATGGGAAAAACATGATCTTGATCCCATTCCTGAGTCCAGTCTCTGATTCCCACTCTTCTTACCTCTGGGTTTGAAACAGGTGAAGGGTGGCTGTGGGATGATAAAAACATGAAAAGAAACTTGAAGGGAGAAAAACGATAAAATCATCTAGTCATAAAAACTAAAAGCTTGCTAAACTAAGCCAGTGGTTTATGTATGAGCATTTTAAAGTCATTATTTAGAGATATCATCACCCTTCAATGAACAGGGTTTGTATTTTAGTGAGTTTTTAAAAGCCTCCTGAAAGTCCTTTGGCATAGGACATACCAAATAAATTGATAAGTGCCATTTAACATTGGAAAATGGAAAAACAAAAGTGTGAAAAGGGCAGGCTGGGATGTTGGGAAACTGATGTTATCATTTTTAGAGTATTTGTTGCAATTAAAGCCTGTTGAAAAGTAAATTTGTGGAGACAGCCCAAAGCATCTTAATGAAAAAAGCATTTTGTGTACTGAATTTTAAAAATGGCTAATGCAATATAAGAAGGAAAGAACTACAATTTTGTTTTTATACCTGCCTATCTCTTGGTAAACAGGCAACTGGTATCTTATGTTGAAAAGCTGTCATGTTAAAATAATGATGGATGCAATTAAATTTACCTACATGAATGCAGTTTTATTGTATAGAATGAATTTCCATCCAGTGGTCAGTAGCCCTAAAGAGTACAGATGATATATCAGTGAATTAAGTAAATAAATAAATATACATAAGGTTTGTCCTTTGTATTTTCTCTTATTTTTGTAGATGTTATTATTGCTATTATTATTATTATTAACTTATTTGAGACAAACAAGTGATGAAACAAATTAACTTTATTTTATACTTTCTCTTTTCCCCAGAAAATTTTGCAAATTTTAAATGAAGCTCATGCATATATGCCAGTTTTTAAAAGTTAGCCCTGATATTTTTATTTCCTTGAAATATTTAAAACTGGTTAAACAATGGGAGTAGAATACAAACAAGGAAATGCCTGTCCTTTGGTTTTGTTTTGTTTTGAGCTTTTTATTATAGAGAACTTTGAACATTCAAAGAGAAGAAAGAATAGGGTAATCAAACCCATCACTCAGCCCCAACTACCATGAAACTATGACCAATCTCCCCGGTTGTTATTCACATCCACTTACCCCTCCCATACTCTTTTTTTTTACTCTTTTTGTGTGTGTGTGATTTGGGTGAAAATTTACAGAGCAAATTCACTTTCTATACAGCAGTTCACATACACTTTGTCTCATGACATTGACTATAATTTACCACAATGCAACAGCTCCCTTCCCACTTCCTCCTGATAGCTACCTCTTCCCTGTGTCCATCCCTCCATGTACTCCTGCCCCTTGAGCTGTGTCCCATGATTGTTCTCTCTAAGGAGTGTATCTACCTCAGGTAAATGTTCAGCTCATATGCCTGTCTTTTGTGTGGCTGGAAGCCACAGGTGTGGATTCAGTTCCAGACCTGAAGGGCAGCTAGGGGCTATAGTCTCAATGGTTCCACCAGGCTCTATCAGACCAGCAAACCTGCCCCCCCCCACCTTTTTTTCCAAATGATTTTGAGTTTTGTTCCACATTGTTCTCCCTCTCTATCCAGGATCACCTGCATAGATTTCCTTCCAAGTGGTTGACAGTGGCAGCTGGTCTAGTTCTTCTGGTCTCATAGTTATATAGGCTGTGGATCGCATGGTGTACCAGTCGCTAGGACTAATTGTTTCCATAAATATTTGGTTTTCTTCATTCTTCTTTGCTCTGGATGAGGAGAGACCAATCGTTGCATCTACATGGCTGCTTGCAAACTTTTAAGATCCCAGTCGCTACTTGCCAAAGCAGGATGTGGAACAATGTTTTATGTGGTATGTTATGCCAACTGAGCTTGATGTTCCCTGTGGCTATGGTCCCAAGCCCCCAGGTTCAAGTACTTGATCCTCTGGGTAGCTGGGTGTGACCAAGAAGTGACTACAAACTTGTCCCTTGTCAGCTCTACTATACACCTAGGAATTCTTATAGATCATACAAATACACTTAAAGGACCACTGTCTGCCAACCCTGGTCTTGGATACACTCCCCATTTCATAGACATACCTAATAGTTCAGCCTGTCTACCCATCTTTCCACCTGTATATCCATGTTTACCTTCACTGACAATGCTGTACTGTATGTGCAAAAGGGTTCATCTTTGTTGTCTGTACCTCCCATGCACCTCTCCATGTCTTTCTCTTCCTCAATGCCACCATGTTGATCACTCACATTTGGTACATTGCCCTTCTCTTCACCCAAATCAATACTTATCTCTATCTATCTGTGTTCCCTCCCCTCCCCTCCCACTCCTGGTAACCAACAAAGAAAATTTCCTTCCATAGATAAACCTTTCCTTGACCTTTACAATAACGGACTAATACAATATTTGTCCTTCTGTGATTGACTTATTTCACTCAGCATAATATCTTCCAAGTTCATCCACATTATGCAGTGTTTTGCAGATTCTAGGTTATTCTTGAGGATTGCATAATATTCCATTGTGTGTATGTATCACAGTTTGGTTATCCATTCCTCAGTTGATGGACACCTAGGTTGTTTTCATTTTTTGGCTGTTGTAAATAGTGCTGCAATGAACATGGGTGTGCATATGTCTATTCTTGTCATGGCTCTCACTTCTTTAGGATATATACCTAATAATGGAATGGCTGGATCAAATGGTATTTCTAATTCCAACTTTTTATTTTATTTTATTTTTTATTGTGATTTGGGTCAAAATTTACAGAGCAAATACACTTTCCATACAGCAGTTCACACACACTTTGTCTCATGACATTGACCACAATTTACCATAATGCAACATCTTCCCTCCTACTTCCACCTGGTAGTTACCTCTTCCTTGTGTCCATTCCTCCATGTACTCCTGCCCCGTGAGCTGTCTCCCTGTGCATCATTAGCAGCCCTTCTTTCTCCCATGGTTGTTCTCTCCAAGGAGTGTATCTACCTCAGGTAACTGTTGAACTCATATGTCTATTGTTTGGCTGGAAGCCACAGGCATGGGTTCAATTTCAGACCTGAAGTGCAGCTAGGGACCATAGTCTCAGTAGTTCCACCAGGCTCTATCGGACCAGCAAACCTGGTCCCCCCCACCCCGATTTTGAGTTTTGTTGCACATTGTTCTCCCTCTCTATCAAGGATCTCCTACATAGATCCTCTTCCAAGTGGTTAACAGTAGTAGCCAGGCACCATCTAGT